TTCAGATGATCTCTAAATTCAGGTGGGATATATTCAAGATCATATTTTGGCTCTTGTGGACTTGTTTTCATTTTCTTCAGCTTCAATTTGAATTTGCATATGAGCAATTGATGGTCTGTTCCACGGTCTGCCCCTGGCCTTGTTTTGACTGATGATATGGAGCTTTTTCATTGTTTCTTTCCGCAGATGTATTCAATTTGATTTCTATTTATTCCATCTGGCGATATCCATGTGTATATTAGTCTCTTGTGCTGTCTAAAAGGAGCTCTGGTAGCATAGTGGTTATGAATCCGCCTGCAAACCTTAAGGTCAACAGTTCGAAACTACCAGCTGTTCCAAGGGAGAAAGATGAGGCTTTCTGCTCCTGTAAAGATTTACAGCCTCAGAAACCCTGTACAGGGTCGCTATGGGTTGGAAATGACTCCACGGCACATAACCACCACCATGCTGTCTAAAGAAGGTATTCGAAATGAACAAATCTTTGATTTTGCAAAATTCTATCACGTGATCTCTAGCATCGTTTCTGTCATTAAGGCTATATTTTCCAACTACTGATCCTTCATCTTTGCTCCCAACCTTTGTATTCCAATCACCAATAATGAGCAATACATCTTGATTGCATGTTTGATCAATATCAGATTGAAGAAGTTGGTAGAATTCTTCTATTTCATCCTCACTGGCTTTAGTGGTTGGTCTGTAAATTTGAATAATAATGGTGTTAACTGGACTTCCCTGTAGGCACATGAATATTGTCCTATCACAGACAGTGTTGTACCTCATGACTGATATGGATCTGTTCTTTTTGATGATGACTGTAACACCATTTGTCTTCAATTTGTCATTCCCAGCATAGTAAACCATGTGGCACTATATCTAACAGTGTTTCTCTGCTATTCATAAGGTTTTCAGTGACTAAATATTCGGAAGTAGTTTGTCACTCCTTCTTCCTAATCTGTCTTTGTCTGGAAGCTCATCTGAAACCTGTCCACCATGGGTGACCCTGCTGGTATTTAAAATACCAGTGGCATAGCTTCCAGAATCACAGCAACTCACAAGCCACCACAGTACGACAAATTGACAGACGAGTAGTGGCTTGTTGTTGTTAGGTGTCATTAAGTTGATTCTGACTCATAGTGACCCCATGAACAAGAGAAAGAAACACTGGCCAGTCCTGTTCTGTACTCGTAATCATTGCTATGTTTGAGCCAACAATGGGCTTTCTGTAGCCACTGTGTCAATTCATCTTATGGAGGCTCTTCCTCTTTTTTGGTGATCCTCTATCAAGCATGATGCTTTTCTTCATGGACTGATCCCTTCTGATAACATGTCCAAAGTACTTGAGACCAAACCTGTCCATCTGCTTCTAAGAACGTTCTTGCTATGTTGGTGGTGGTATGCCGTGGAGTCGGTTCCAACTCATAGCAACCCTATGTAGGGTTTCCAAGGCTGCAAATATTTACATGAGCAGAAAACCTCATCTTTCTCCTGAAGAACAGCTGGTAGTCTTGAACTGCTGACCTTGAGGCTAAGAGCCCGACTCATAACCACTAAGCTACCAGAGCTCCTTCATTACTTCTCCTATACTTCTTCCAAAAATAGATTTTTTTTCCTTCTAGCAGTTCATTCCATATTCAATATTCTTCACCAGTACCATGATTCCAATTCATCAATGCTCCTTCATCCTTCCTTACTTACAATCCAGCTTTTGCATGCTTTTGAAGCTACTGAAAAATACCATAACTAGGATCAGCTGCACCTTAGTCCTCAAAGTGACATCTTTAATTTTTAATATTTTAAAGAGATCATTTGAAACAGATCATTTGATTTTATGACTGCTACTTCCATACAGTTGGTTGTGGGTCCAAATAGAACGTAATCCTTGACAACTTCTATCTTTTCCCCATTCAGATTTATCATCTGCATATCTCCGGTTGTTAATGAATCTTCCTTCAGTTCTGATGCTGCATTCTTTCCAGAATCTAGCATTTTCCCTGGGACCATCAAGGGAGAAGAGTGGTGGAGTGCAGGACCTTACCCAGAGAAACAGTGATGCCAGAGATGGAGGCAGAGACAGTGATGTAGAGAGATGGAGCAATTGGGGACTCTAGACCCAGAGAGGGAGAGGGGCTGTGTGCTGATGACCGAGGGGCAGGCTTGCAGGGTATATACCCTTTGGTTGTTTGATGATGCATGGAGGGGATTGTAATCATGGCAAAGAAACGACATATGATAGGATGAATGTAAAGCTGATGTTCTCCTGTGTAAACTATCACATAATTCACAATAAAAACTTAAAAAAAAAAAAGAAAGAAAGAATCTTACCATTTAGGATTGTTTGCCTTGCACAAAAATTGAACAAATTCAGCAAAAGGAGTGAATGTATACAAACCCGACACCCACTTTTCCTGATTTTAAATTATGCAGTATCCCCTTGTTCTATTTGAATGACTGCCTCTTGGTCTATGTACAGGTTCCAAATGAAGACAGCTAAGTGGAGTTTCCTTTCTTCGCAATTCTATTCATAATTTGTTATCATCCACATAGTCAATTGCCTTTGCAAACTTGATAAAGCACAGGTAAGCATCTTTCTGGTAACCCCTGCTTTCAGCAGAGATCCATGTGATGTCAGCAATGATATTCCTTAGTTCCATGTCCTCTTATAAATATGACTTGCATTTCTGGCAGCTCCCTGATGTGCTGCTGCAACCATGTCTGAATTATCTTAAAGAAAATTGCCTTGCATGTGATATTAATGGTATTGCTCAGTAATTTCTGCATTCACATGTGAATCACTTGTATTTGGAATAGGCACAAATATAGATCTCTTGCAGTTACTTGGCCAGGTAGTCACCTTCCGATTTCTTGGTAACAATCTAGCACTTCCGGTGTTGCATCTGTTTGTTGAAACATCTCCTATGGCATTCATCAATTCCTGGAGCCTTGTTTTTCTCCTATGCTTTCAGAGCAGCTTGGACGTCTTCCTTCAATACCATTATTTTTGTTATATGCTACCTTCATCATGAAGCTCAAAGACCACAGCCTTTGCTATGGGTTGCATGTTAATGTAAAGAAAACACAAACTTTCACCACTGGACAAATAAACAACATCCATATAAATGGAGAAAACATTGACGTTGTCAAAGACCTCATTTTGCTCGGATCAACCATGAACACTCATGAAAGCAGCAGTTAAGAAATCAAATGACATATTGCATTAGGCAAATATGCTGCACAAGACGTCTTTAAAGTGTTCAAGAGCAAAGATGTCATTTGAGGAATGAAATGCACTTGGCCCAAGCCATGGTATAAAGAGATGTGTGAAGACCGTAGAAGAATTGATGCATTTGAGTGATAGTGTTGGAGAAGAATATTGAAAATACCATGGGCTACCAAAAGAACAAATGATCTGTGTTGGAAGAAGTATAGCCAGAGTGCTCCTTGGAAGCCAGGATGGCCAGACTTCATCTCTCATATTTTGGACTTATTATATGGATGGGTTAGTCACTGGAGAAGGATATCATGTTTGGTAAAGTAGAGGGTTGGACAAAAAGAAGAAGACCCCCAATGAGATGGACTGGCAAGGTGGTGGCAGTGATGGGCTCAGGCACAGCAATGATTGTGAGGTTGGCTGAGGACCGGGCAGTGTTTCATTCTGTGGTGCATAGGGTTGCTATGAGTCGGTACCGACTCCTTGGTACCTAACAGCAACAACACCTTCATCAAATGCTTCCTGAATCGTTCAGTATTTTGCTCTTCAGTAAATGAAAGTCCTGAAAAGTTTACTTCATCCACATCTTTAAGGCTGACGACTTTGAAGAGGCAGCTCTTTCCCAGTCTAATTCTGAGTCTTGTCAAACCTGAGGCTCTACACCAGTACTACACCAGGCACTGTCCTACTGCTACCCATAAGGCCAATTTCTTAAGAAGTAGATCATTGAAACCTGTCTACCATACGTGACCACACAGTAGCATAGCTTCCAACATCACAGCAACATGGAAGCCACATAGTAAACCAAACAAGTGGTGCTCAGTTAGGTTTGGTTGTGTGTGCTGTTGAGTTGGTTTTGACTCATAGCGACCCTGTCTAGGTTTTCTGGGGATAAAAATTTTTATGGGAGCAGAAAACCTCATCTTTCTCTCTCAGAGCCACTGGTAGATTTGAAATGCTGACCTTGTGATAAGCAGCCCAACTTTTATCCACAATTAGGTTTTGTTGCTGTTGTTAGGTGCTGTGGAGTTAGTATGAACTCTTAGTGACCTTATCCACAACAGAACAAAGTACTGCCCAGTCGGTTCTGTGCCAATCATTGCTATGCTTGAGCCCATTGTCGTCACTGTGCCAATCCGTCTTTTTTAAAAAAAAAACACAGGGACTTTATTATTCCCAACCCAGGCAGTTCTTTGGGTCCCTACTTGCTGGCAGTGAGTGGGTTCCGCAGGTCCACAATGACAGAGTCCCCACGCAGGAATATCTTGGCGATGTAGTGGTCCTTTTTGATGGGCTTGGACTTCTTGCCCTTGCCACTCTTCGGGACTTCACTCCACATCTCTGTCACATTCTCCAGCACCATGTGGCAGTGCCTGTCAAAAGCCTTCACATGGCCCAGCAGCTTCTTGTTGTTGCCACAGTTGATGAGCCCTTGGGGTTTGTTCTTGACTGACTGAGTGAGTACGGAGAGGGGACTGGTGTTAAACTCCTCCTCCTGCAGCTCCTCTGGGGTCAGCTCACTCTGGGGCTTGTTGAGGAGGCTCACGGTGCTAGCAGCGTTCCCCTGTGTCAATCCATCTTGTTGGGATCTTCCTCTTTTTAGTTGACCCTCCACTTAACCAAGCATGATGTCTTTCTTCAGGGACTAGTTCCTCCTGATAATATGTCTGAAATATGAGAGATGAAGTCTGGCAATCATGGCGTCTAACGAGCATTCAGGCTATACTTCTTTCAACACAGATTTATTTGTTCTTCTGGCAGTCCATGGTACATTTATATTCTCCTTCAACACCATAACTCAAATGTATCAATCTTCTATGGACTTTTATCCAACTTTCACATCCATATGAGGTTACTGAAAATACCATGGTTTGAGTCAGGCACACCTTAGTCCTCAAACTGACATCTTTGCTCTTCAACACTTTAAAGAGTTCTTGTGCGGGAGATTTGCCTAATGCAATACGCCATTTGATTTCTTGACTGCTGCTTCCATGAGTGTTGATGGTTGATGTGAGCAAAATGGAATTTTTGACAGCTTCATTCTTTTCTCCATTTATCTTGATGTTATTTATTGGTCCAGTGGTGAGGGTTTTCTTTTTCTTAATATTGAGGTGTAATCCATACCAAAAGCTGTGGTCTTTGATCTTTATCAATAAGTGCTTTAAATCCTCTTTGCTTTCAACAAGCAAGGCTGTACCACCTGCATATCACATATTGTTATCAAGTCTTCCTCCAATCCAGCTTCTTGTATTATTTGCTCAACATATAGATTGAATAAGTATGGTGAAAGTAAGGTGCCCACCTTTCCTGATTTTAAACCACTTAGTATTCCATTGCTCTGTTCAAATGACTGTCTCTTGGTCTATGTACAGTGCCTCATGAGCAAAATTAAGTGTTCTGGAATACTCATTCTCTGCAATGTTGTCCATAGCTTGTTGTGATCCACACAATGGAAAGCCTTTGTGTAGTCCATAAAGCACAAGTAAACATTTTTCTGGAATTACCTGCTTTCAGTCAAGATCTACCTGATGACAGCAGTTATATTCCTCTTCACATGTCCTTATCTGTATCCAGTGAACCTCTAGCAGTTCCTTGTCAGTGTACTGCTGCAGCAAATTTTAAATTATCGTTAGCAAAATTTTATTAGCATGTAACATTAGTGTTATTGTCTGATGATTTCTGCATTCCATTGGGTTACCTCTCTTGGGCATGGGCACAAATATGGACCTCTTCCAATCAGTTGGCCAGGTAGCTGTCTTTCAAATTTCTTTGCATAGATGAGTGAGTACATGCAGTGCTGCCTCAGTTTGTTGAAAGATATCAATTTGTTTTCTTTCAATTCCCAGAGCCTTGTTCTTTGCCAATGCCTTCAGTGCACATTGGACTTTTTTTCTTCAGTACTATTGAATCTTGATCATATGCTACCTCTTGAAATGGTTGAACATGGAACATTTCTTTTTGGTACAGCAACTCTGTATTCCTTCTATCTTCTTATTTTTTTAAATGTTTTATTGTGAATAATTATGTGAATTATCAAGTAAGAGGAATGGGAATTCCTTCTGAAGGCTGTCATAAACACATCCCACCGCCTTATGAAGGACAAGTCTGATGAGTCCAAAGGGTGGACCACACAATGCTGGAAAAAATAAGTCTAAGCAAAGAAATTAATGTTTTATTGTGAAAAAGAAGAGCCTCTTCTTTCGAGGCTTTCTGCATCATTCAATATTTTGCCCATCATTCAATATTTTGCCCATGAAATTCTTCTATTGTGAATCATATAATTCACAATTTACATGGGAGAACATTAGCTTTACATACATATGTTTCATTGCCATGGTTACAATCCTTTCCATGCATCATCAAACAACCAAAGGGTACACCACACAAGCCTTCCCCCTGGTCTTCAGCACACAGCCCCTCTTCCTCTCTGGGTCTAGAGTCCCCAGCCATTCCCTCTCTCAACATCATCGTCTCTGCCTCCATCTCTGGCATCACTGCTTCTCTGGGTAGGGTCCTGCACTCCGCTCTTCTCCCTTGATGGTCCCAGGTACCTTCGCTCCTGGACTGCAAAGTCAATCATTCCCCTTGTTTTGCTACAAAATGTCTACCTTTACATTTCCAACCCTCACAGTCAGTCCTGATAGCAATTATTCACTATTGTGCCACATGAGAGCCATCACCATCTCCTTACATCAGCCCCTCCCAGACAGATTGGATACTACTCCGTGGAGATTCTGCCTTCCTCCGTGCTCTTTGGATCTCGTCCATCTTCTTTTGACACTTTCTGCATCATTCAATATTTTGCCCATAAAATCCTTCAATATTTCAAGTCAAGGCTTGAATTTTTTCTTCAGGTCTTCTAGCTTGAGAAATGCTGAATGTGTTCTTCCCTTTTTGTTTTCTAACTCCAGATATTTGCACATTTTGGTATAATATTTGACTTTATCTTCTCAACTGTTCAGCTCTTTTATGTCCTTGTTTCTTTCATTTGTTTTAGCATCTCTACACTGGAGAACAATTTTCAGAGTCTCTTCTGACATCCATTTTGGTCTTTTTCTTCTTTTTTGTTCTTCTTAATAACCTTTAGCTTTCTTCCTTTATAATATTCTTGATGTCATCTCACAACTCTTCTGGTCTTTGGTCATTAGTGTCTAATGATTCAAATCTGTTATTGAGATGATCTCTAAATTCAGGTGGGATATGTCCAAGGTCATATTTTTTGACTCTCATGGACTTATTTTAATTTTCTTCAGCTTCAGCCTGAACTTGCAGATGAGCTCCATAGCCTTCCCATGGCTGATGATGTGGAGTTTTGCCATGATATCTTTCTACAGCTGTGGTCCGTTTAATTTCTGTGTATTCCATTTGGTGAAGCCCATGTGTATAGTCACCTTTATGTTGCTTTAAAAAGATGTTTGCAATGAAGAAGTCATTGGTCTTGCACAATTCTATCATGAGTTCTCAGTATCGTTTCTGTCACTACCAAGGTCAGATTTTCTAAAGACTGATCCTTTCTCTTTGTTTCCAATCTTTGCACACCAATCGTCAATAATTGTCAATATTTCTTGCTTGCATGTTTAATTAATTTCAGTCTGAAGAAGTTGGTAGAATTCTTCAATTTTGCTATCACTAGCTTTAGTGGTTGGTGTGTACCTTTGAATTACAGTATTAACTGGGCTTTCCTGTAGACATGGATATTATCCTATCACAAACAGCATTGAACTTCAGGATAGATCTTGAAATATTCTTTTTCATGATGAATGCAATGTCATTCCTCTACAATTTGTCATTCCTGGCACAGTAAACCATGTGATAGTCAGATTCACAGTGGCCAATGCCTGTCCTTTCAGTTCACCAATGCCCAGGATATCCATGTTTATGTGTTCCACTTCATTTTTTGACAATTTTCAGTTATCCTAGATTAGGTTGTTGTTATTGTGTCATTAAGCTGGTGGGTTTGAACTGGTGACCTTCTGGTTCACAATCCAGTGCTGATTCTACAGTGCCACACCAGGATTAGGCTGTTGTTGTTGTTATTAAGTGCCATCGAGTCGATTCTGACTCAGTGATCCGATATATGGTTTCTGAGGAGCAGTTGGTGGGTTTGAACTGTCAACATTCTGGTTCGCAGTCCAGTGCTGATCCTATAGCACCACATTAGGATTAGGTTGTTGTTGCTGTTGTGAAGTGCCATCTAGTTGGTTCCAACCCATAGTGACCCTGTATAGGGTTTCCAAGGAGCAGCTGGTGAGCTTGAACCACAAACGGCTTTGCAGTCTGGCGCATTAATCCACAGCGCCACACCAGGACTTCTTAGATTAGACTGTTGTTGTTACTGTGCCGTGGAGTCGGTTCCGACTCATAGCGACCCTGTACTGGGTTTTCGAGGCTGTAAATCTTTACGGGAGCAGAAAGCCTCAACTTTCTCCCGCGGAACTGGTAGTTTCAAACTGCTGACTTTGCGGTTCACAGCCCAATTAGTAACCACTATGCTACCAGAGCTCCTTTAGATTAGATTAGATTGCTGTTGTTGGGAAGTGCCGTCGAGTCCATTCCGACCCATAGCGACCCTCTATAGGGTTTCCAAGGAGCAGCTGGTGAGCTTGAACCGCCAACTTTACAGTTCAAACGGATTTACAGTCTGGCGCATTAACCCACAACGCCACAGATTAGAGAGTGTTTATTTGACATTAGTGTTTTTCGTAATGGTAGCTGGCCCTTGTTGCATTGTAAGAAGTACAAGATCCCCTCTGTGTTTACATTTAAACAAGCTGACTCTGCTCCCATCAAGTAAGAGGAATGGGAATTCCTTCTGAATGCCGCCATAAACACACACGACCGCCCTATGAAGGACAAGTCTGGTGAGTCCAAAGGGTGGACCACACAATGCTGGAAAAATAGGTCTACTCAAAGAAATTGCTTAATAGCCAATAATTGATACCTAGAGAATCACTCACAAAAGTTTGTTTAAAACCCTAACTTCTGGTCAGTGATATAGATTCAGTTAACAAAGGAAACTGAACATTTTAGAAATTTATTTTTCAAAAACAATCTCATGGATGCACCAATAAGTCTTTCCATTTAAATGTCATTGCTGTGTCTTTTTAAGAAATAGTTTAAATTCACACCGTTTTGAAATTCATAGCACTTTTTAAAAAATTCATAGCAGTTGCAAAAATTTATATAATGAGCTACCATGTCCTCTTCAATTTAACTTCCTTCAGTGATAACATTTTACATAACTCTGGTAAAATTATCAAAACCAGGCCATTGACAACACTAGTAAACCGCAGACCTATTCATATTTCACCAGTGTTTACATGCACTCATTCATTTTGTTGTTGCAGGTTATTGTTGTTAAGTGCAGTTGAGGCAGTTCAGACTCATAGCCATCCTGTAGAGGGTTTCCAAGAAGCAGTTGGTGGGTTTGAACTGCCACCCTTGTGGTTAGCAGTCTAATGTTTATCCTACAGCACTACAGCAGAACTGTTGTTATTGTATACTTCTTCAGGTGGTGTTGAGTTGGTTCTGACTCCTATCAACCCTGTGTAGGGTTTCCAAGGA